CAGCCTGGGTGAGTCCCGCCGCCACCCCCGACGGCAGGCAGACCCCCCCACAGAGGCCCTGCCTGTCGGGCTCCCTGGGTCTGGGCCCAGCAGCCCTTGCAGGCTGCATTTTAGCCAAATCACAGTGTCCCTTTCTGGGTTCAGGTGAGGGGGACCAGCCCTGGATCTGCTGAGAGCCCACGGGGCAGTGCGTTTGGGACATTTTGAGTCACAGGTGCACAGCTGTGCTCTCTGAGGAACGCTCCTTCCTCTATGCCAGCAGCTTCCTGGGTGCCCCCTCCAGCTGCCTCTGAGAGCACAGCCCGTGCCTTTGTGGGGGACTACCCCTCCCCCCTGCCCGGTCCCGGCCCAGGAAACCCCACTCTGGTGTGACAGGTGCCCCCCTTGCCTGGTCGGCCCCCTCCCAGCAGCCTCGGGCACCTGTGACCTTGGGGTCAGGAGGCCCATGGAGCAGGGATGAGCGATGAATCACTCTCTGGTTGCAGGGTGCGGGGGGAGGGCCGGGCTCAGGCCACAGGACAGTGTAAGGGGGTAGAGAAGGGCCAGCAAGGGGAGGAGGGAGGGCAGCGGGGGAGGGGGGGAGGATCCTGGTCAGTTCCTGGCCTGCACACTCCTTGGTCACTCCCCCAAGACCCAGATCGGGGTCTTTGGAGCCTTGGATCCTGGTGTGGCCCTGCGTCTGGCCCTGACACGGGCTGGCTGACCAAGGGCCTGTGCAGCTCCTGGGCCTTGCAGCTTGTCAATGTCGGTCTCGCGGGGCCCATCCCCCCCCCCCAGGAAATGTGCACTGTACCCTCCCAACAGGGGTGTGCCAGAAGCCCCCTCCCCAGAGCTCAAGGTGGGCCGCACCTCTGGTCACTGGGAAAAGCCCTTGAATTCCTGACACTGAAGACCCCAGCCTCTTGCTTCTCCCTGATGACGGCAGGACCAACACGGATTCAAGGAAACCGTGCCATGTTTACTAGTAACTACAGAGGCTCTCCCCTTGGGACTCGGGAGTCTGGAAGGGGCACCGGGAAGCTGGGGATCCAGGGGGCGGGGCTGTGTCAGGGCTGGAGAACAGGGGCAGGCAGGATGGCTGTGGGCCAGGAAGGTCACCCTAGCGGGGCAAGACTGTCCCCTTCAGCCCCAGATGATCTTTGGGCTGCGGGGCAGGGCATCCGTCACCAAGGACAGAATCACCCCAGATCACGTAAGCTGCCTTCCCGGTGGAAGCGTCCTCTTTCTCAAAAGTCGGGCCTGGAGGGAGATGCACACAGGGTGTGCCTGTCCGGCACCGGTACTGCCCGGAGCCGCTGGCGGGCCCCGCCGCTGACCAGCGGCCAGCGTCACAGCACTGGGGCCGCGCCGGGCAGTGGCAGAGCAGGGTGGCCTTCTCCTGAGGTTCTCCAAAGCCTCGGCTGCCCTCCCCAGGGTGAGGCCTGCGGTCACGGGGAGGGTCCGAGCCGCAGGCAGAACCTGGCTCCAGCCTTCTCACCTTGCGGGAGGGTGAGGCAGAGCGCACGCAGCAGCTACGTTCCTTCTGTCCCCTGCCCTCAAGATGAGCCTCCATCTGCCGGCCCGGCTCCGCCTCCCTGATGCGTGTTCACTGCGCAGCTACTGTGAGCAGGGCGCCGGGGGCAGGGGCCACAGGGCCCCAGAGACCAGGACTCCGGCTGCTGGAACGGCCAGGTGGCCTCTGCCCCCACGGCAGTGCCAGCACCTCGGACTCTTGCGCCCGGCCGGCCCCTGGCCTGGAACGTTCCCTGGGCCTGACGCTAAACCATGAGTCGCCTCTCCTGTGCCCCGTGCGAGGGGGACCGGGACAGCGGCTCGTTGCCCTGCCCTCCCCGGGAAGGTGACACGGGATCCTCACCCTCGGGTCACTGACCTCTGGGTCCCCATCCGTGGTGGGACGTCGAGCAGTGTCCCGCTCACCACCCGTTAGAAGCCAGTAGGAACCCCCAAGAGTGACAACCAAAGTGCCTCCACACTGACCAATGTCCCCTGGGGGACGGGGCCACCCGGGTGAGGACGGACGGGGCAGGGGCAGGGTCCCCGACGGCAATCAGGACGGGCTGAGTGCACCGAGCCCACGCGCACACTGACCAAAGCTGCCAGACGCAGCCACGCCGACTGCCTGTATTCTCCAAAACCAGGCTTCCAGAAACATCAAAACGTGGCACTCGCACACTGTCCACGACACAGCGTGAGGTGCAAGCAGTGGCCCCCAGGGTGGACAGGCCAAGGGTGACCCGTGTGAGCTGGGCAGAGCGCACCGTGGCCCCAGAGGCCAGAGGGGGCGGCGAGGGTCCGTTGGGGCCCAGCGGGGAGATGATGACTCAGGGTCCGGAGCCTGCAGGGCATGGCCTCGACCGCCCGGGAGTCCAGGGCCCAGGCAGAGCCCGCAAGCACATGGGGGGAGAGCCCCAGGCGGCCGCGTCACGGGGCCTGAGCGGGAGGCCGGCCTAGCCGCTTCCCCAAGAAGGAAAACCCTTCTGATAAGAAAGCTGGAAGCACACTCAGTCTCCCTGCGGCTGCCCTGTCCTGCCGGGCGGAGAACCCCGCCCCGACCAGCTCCAGGGGCCTCTCAGGGTCTGCAGGCTGGACCTCGGGCAGGACGGCGGAGAGGGCCCTAGGTGCACCTGTCCTGGTGTCACATCACAGTCACTGCAGACAGGCCTGCGACCACCTGACGCACGCCACCTGCTGCACTCAAGGGCCCCTCGGGCTTCTTGCTCGTGATGCCATGAGTCACCTTCTGTCATTCTTTGAGGAACCACACTTGTCTTCTAATGCTTTCCTGCGAAAGTCTGTGTGGATCCCTCATCACACCTATTTAAAAGCCACGTGAGGGCTCTTTGGTACAAAACCAGACAAACACACGCACAGTTTCTTGGAACACTTGGCTGAGGTTCCGCGCTGAGCCGGCCTTGTTGACTTTGCTGCGAGTCTGGGTCTGGGAAGCGCAGGCCTCACGTGCCCATCGGTGCTGAATGACCACAGGGGCAGGGGCAACAGACCCGTTTCCTGGGGGGCGTGCCCACCAGGGTTACCTGGCAGCCACCTTTGCAGAACCTTCCGGAAGCAGTGAACTATGCAATCCAGGAATCAACATGGAAACCGCCTGGGCAGGGTCAGGGCATTGGGCTGCTGCCTCCGTGGACTTAGCCACTGCCCCACTCCAGTCACCCAGGGGGCCCAGCGGGCTCCGAGGAAGCCGGCACGCGAGGTGAAGTCTCCGTCACGACCGTGCAGGTCCCCAGGGGACGCCCGCGATGGGCCCTGGGTGACGGTGCGGGGCCAGCAGGGGCTGCCTGGCAAGATTCGAGGGAATTGCTTCTGTGTTTGAAGAAAGGCGGCCATGCGGCCGCAAGGCCGCCCACCGTCCACTCACGGCCCCAGTTTGAAGGACTGTGACGGTCACCTGTCCATGCTGGTGTCTTCTGGAGACGTGTGTCCCAGCCCTGCCTGCCTGTTCCCTGCAGCAGGACCTGAGCCCCGGGCCACCATGCCAGCTGCACCGCCCCGCACAGACCTTCTCCCACAATTCCATTGCTTTTGTTTGTTCGTTTGTTTTTTCATCGTGTTTTTGAGGAGGGGAACCTAGCTTTTGACCAAAACAAAGGAGGTCGGGTTTTCCTCCCAGGGAGCGTTCTGGAGGGACATGAGTTCCAGGGGGTTTTCCAGTGCCGCCCGCTCAGTGCTTCAGGACACGTGTCCACAGACGTCGGGTCCTCGGGGCGGAGGTGGGGCAGGAGACTGACCGGCAGAGCCAGCACGTGGCCCCCGCACCTGGAGCGAATGCGGCCTAGCACAGGTCATCCCGCAAGACAGTGGCCTCAGAAGCCCGTCCGGTCCAGGATGCTGAGAAGCGCTGCAGGCTCTCGGGGGCTGGTGGCGGAAAGGAGCCGTCACAGCCCTTTTCTTGTTCTGTGTTTGGCAGCGAAGGTGGGCAGCCCACCTACTTGGGGGCACACGTATCCCCGAGGAGTTGCCGACCTTTTGAAAGGGCTGCCAGGATCAGGTCAGTGCCCGCCACGTGCTCCCTGGGGTCAGCGTGGCTCTTCCAGGGGGCGCCCACGTGTCCCCACGAGGCCAGGTGGCCCAGTGTCCGTGCAGCCCCCAATACGGGCGCAGATGGTGTCCTCTGCCCAGCCTGCCCGGGTCAATTCTCAAGCTGCCACCCGACGTCCCCACTGGTGGCACGTCCTGGGGGAGCTCTCATCGCACGTGCTCTTGGAAGGAAAGAGGAGAGGGGCGTGAGCACAGAGCTGGCTCATTCTCTCTGGAAGCAGAGACTCATCTTCTCAGGAACCAGGACGGTGAAAACAGGGTTGAAAACGCCTGCAGACGGGCACCACATCGGACTCTGGTCAGCAGGCCCGGATTCTTTAGCAAGCTGTGTCCCGCATCGTCTGAAAGTGGCCTCGGGAGGGAATCTGCTGCGGCACCAGTCAGCCGCGTGCCCCCGAATCACCGGGGTGAACTGGTGGGCAGGCACTGCAGTGTGGGTCGTGCTCACCTCGGGCCCACCCTCCCCTGACGACCCTTCTCACAGGTGGAGAAATGGGGCTCAGAGGTATGGTCGTTGGCCTCAGGCGTGGAGCCCGCTGGTCTGACCACAAAGGCCCTGGCAGCCCGAGGCATCTGCCAGTGGGAAACCGAAACTGAAGGCCCTGCGTGTGGCTACTTTCCCAAACTGGGGCGGGAATCACTCTGACCTTTGCTCTGGGACGGTGAGGTGCCCACACAAAGGGTCTGGACTCGCTGGAGAGCCCCCGCCCCCGAGGGGTGGGGCTGAGACGGAGGGAGAACAGGAGGACGAGCCGGCAGCCGGGGAAGGGCAGCGGGGCTGTGGTCCCAGGCTCTCTGCTGACACGTCCGTGTAGCTGTACATTTGGAAAATCCCATAGCGCAGTGTCAGCGAGAGGACGGGCTTACATGCCAAGGAAGGCCAGGGGGACAGGCCTTTGCTTGGGATTTCACCGTCTCTGAAACTGGAAATGCCTATTTCCTGGTCATCGAGTAGCACCCGTGCTGAAAGGCGGGCCCAGAGAGAGTGGAGCGCCCAGCTCGCCCGAGCCCGTGGACCCACGCTCCCTCCACGGGTCTCCTTCCCTCCTGGCAAACTGACGCGTGAGCTCCAGCTCTGGCCTCGCAGCCTGGGCGCCTGTTGGGACAAACCAGAAACACTCAGGGCGGGCCGTGAGGGGGCCTCTCTGAAGACCCCAGGGGCCCCGCACTCAGCAGCGCCCCACTCCACACTCCTCCGGCTTCCTGCTCGGGTGAGGGCTCCTCAGGCCGCCCTCATTTCCAGGACGAGACTTTGTAAGAGGTCAGGGTGGGAAACGCGTCAAGACGCTCAAGGGCCTTCAGCGGCCTGGCTGGGTTGGCAGTGGGGCCGTGGGCAGTATTTCTGGGCAGATGGCATTGGCAACCAAGTGGAAGCTCCAGGCGGCATGTAGAAACCCCTCCCGTCAGGCAGAGCTCCCACTGTGCGCGGGCTCCGCAATCCAGCCGCGCTCCCTTACCACACCCTCCCAGGAGTCCAGGAGGAGCCCGACCCGGTTAATAAGACGTTTGGGGATGCCCGCTGACCTCCACCACCAGGCCGACATGGGGAGACGGTGCTGCCCCCCGCCCCGAGGGGTTCCCCCAAGGCCGCAGCCCTCAGGCCCTCTTGTGACACCGGGGTGGCCCCAGGGTCCACATTCCAGGCTCTTCTGCTCCCCCCCGCTGTGAGTTCTGCTTCTTTGTTTAACTCAGTCAAAACCCAGACTTTCTGGATCTGTCTTCGAGCTTGACCAGAACTGGACAGACGGCCTCGAGGGACTGAAGGCAACTCGGCTTCCACAGACACACCACGTCCACACTCGGAGTCCGCCGTCCCCCCGCCAGACCCAGACACCGGACTTCCCTTCTGGGGCGCAGCTGTGTCAGGATCTCGGAGACGGAGGTCACACCGGGGGCACTGGGGCTGCTATCCTCACGCGCGTGAGCACGACTAAAGCACGCTTCCCGTGACAGCGGCACCACGCAGGGCTTGGAAACATCCCGGGAAAGGCCAGCCCTCACCCCAACAAAGTAAGTGTGTGCTGTCTGCAGCGCGGGCTTCTCCGGTACCTGCGTAGCTTCTGTAGAGACATCTCCGCCTGCACAGCCAGCCCGTGGCCACGCCCACGCCCACGGCCACGACCAGCACGGCAAGGACGCTGAGAACCGGCCGGTTCACCGCATCTTGGATGTCGTCCACTGGGTCCTCTGTGATGCTGTCCTTGGTTCCCGCGAACATTTCTGCAGGAAAGGAAAGTAACCGAGGACTTACAGGGTCAGGAGGGAAAGGGGGGTTTCTTCATCCTGAAGGAGACAGTGCTAAGGGAAGTATTGATCCACCAAACTTTCCAGAGGTGTTTTGTGATTTTTAAGCTATAAAGCTGACGGAGAGAAGGGTTTCCCCCTTCAGGTGATCCTTCAACTCTTCCTGGGCTGTCATTCCTCCTCACCCTACCTGTGTGACCTGTAATCCCAGCCCTTCCTGAAGGTCCACACCTGGGAATGGGCGTGGTGGGAACACAGTCATCCTGGCTTTTTTTTTTGGTGGGGGGGGGGTTACGCGGGCCTCTCCCTGTTGTGGCCTCTCCCGTTGCGGAGCACAGGCTCCGTACGCGCAGGCTCAGCGGCCGTGGCTCACGGGCCCAGCCGCTCCACGGCATGTGGGATCCTCCCGGACCGGGGCACGAACCCGTGTCCCCCACATCGGCAGGCGGACTCTCAACCACTGCGCCACCAGGGAAGCCCTTCCTGGCTTTTTAAACTAAACTTAATTTAATTAATTCTTTCTAGCTTAATTGCTGGCTTTAAAAAAAGATGATGGTGAAATTCACATAACATAAAATTAACCATTTTAAAACGAACAATTTAGTGGCATTTAGTACATTCACAAGGTCACGCAGCCAAAACCATTATCTAATTCCAGAACTTTCCACCACGACAAAAGGAAACCCCCTTCCCATCAGTGGTCACTTCCCATCCTCTCTCCCAGCCCCTGGCAAACTCTAATCTAATTTCTGTCTGTTTGGATTTACCTATACGGGCCATTTCGTACAAATGAAATCATACACTATGTGGCCTTCTGTGTCTGGCTTCTCTCACTGAGCATCACCTGCATGGTTCATCTACGTTGCAGCACGGACTGCAGTGCCTCATTCCTTTTCGTGGCTGAGTAATGCTCCACTGTGTGGATGGACGCATCCCTTCGTCCATCCATGGACACTTGGGCTGCTCCCACCTTTTGGCTATTGTGAATAAGCTGCTGTGAACATTTATGTACGAGTATTTGTTTGATTCTCATTTCCAGCCCTCTGGGCTGCATACCCAGGGGTGGAATTGCTGGGTCACATGCTAATTTTTAAGGAACCAGCAGACTGTTCTTCACGGCGGCTGCACCATTTCCCGTCCCACTGGCAGTGCACGAGGGGGCCAATCTTCCTGTCCCAGTGTCCAACCATTGTGCCCCTTGAGAGTGGTTCTCATGGGCAGACAAGCAATAACCTCCCCGAGCAGCTTGTTACAAGTGTCCCGTGTTTGCCGAAACCCGAAGGAGCCACGAGCCAGACAGTGGCTAGGCCTCCCGCGCACCTTAGAACCACCTGGAAGCTTTTCAACATGTCCTGTTGCCTGGACAGCCCAGAGGTGCTGATTCAGAGGGTCTGGGCACAGGGCGGGGTGATGGGGGTTGACAGGCTTCCCAGTTGTCCCCCAGAGCAGCTGGGCCGAGACTACAGCCCCAGGAGACCCTCCGTTCCCCTTCCCCTGCACCCGGCTGCCCTGCTGGGACGCAGAGGCCAGCGGAGGCCTTTGGTGCAGCCAGAAGACCGTGACCGCTGAGTCCCAGGGCTGTGCCTGCATTCCAGGAAGGCGAGTGCCCGGGCACGGGGGCTCCCGGCAGCTGGGCGGCTTCTCGGCGGCAGGCAGGCCCCCGACACCCCCATCCTCCAGCTCTCCTGCCCCTCCTTCCCTGGCGTCTCAACACTGGTGACAGGGACACACAGGCTGAGAGAGCCTGTGGCTTCTACGAAGGAGTCACCCGCCTGCACCCTTCCACAGGGAGCCTGGGACGGCAGCCAGGCCCAGCCGCACCCCCTGGTGGAGGAGGGGTTCTGGCTTCCCAGGGGGCACACGTCCAAAGAGCTGGGGTGGTGGCTGTGCAGGAGGGGCTTCAATCCTGATGCTGCCGCCGCCTCAGCCTGCAGCTTCTGAAGTGTTACATGACCTTTCGGAACCTCAGTCCCTCATCTGTAAAATGGGTCACCAAAACTGACACCGCCCCCCCCCCCCCACCCCCTCCTCCACCCCATCGCCTCCTCCACACCATCGCCTAGGTGCGTGAGGATTAAGCGCCCCGAGCACCTGGCCGGCCCCTGCCCTCCGTCGCACGGCGAGGCCTGTCACCTCCTCTCCCTGTCATCACCTCCGAAGCCGCTGCCGAGTCACCTCATAGGGGCTTTGTCTTCCACCTGACAAGATCCCCCAAGTGACCCCTGGCCCCCAGCCTTGGGTTGGGGTCAGCGTGCAGATCCCGGGACCTTACCTGTCTGGCCGCTGGTCAGGTTCTGGTGAAGAACCACATTCTCGATGCAGCAGCCCACGTCGATGGCGGGACTCCGCCCGATCCGCAGGACGCTGACCACGTTGTACAGGCCCCGCGCGTTTAGGGACACGGTGCTGTTCTGCAGGGTGTCGTCCAGCAGGCTGTTGTCCGTCTTGTTGATCCAGTACACGTTGGGCCGCGGGTAGCCATTCGTGGACGTGCACGTGAAGACGAACTCCTCGTCCTGAGATGGGCCGCTGACCACTGGCATGCTGTAGTTTGCTGCAGGGGAGGGAAACGGGCTGAGGGGTGCCAGGTTCCGAAGGTCAGAGAACGGGGGGGACACAGTGCCAAGGGCCAGGGTAGCGGGGAGGCAGCCGTCGTGCCCCGGACGCCAGAGCCGGGCCGGGACCAAGGCTGTGGTCTGGGCAGCAGCACAGGCCCTGTTCTACCAGAGTCACGCCCCCCAGCCCACCAATAGGGGCACTATGAGCCGGGCGGGCAGTGACCGGCACCCACGTCCCACCCCAAGGAGGTTGGCCTCCTTTGAGTCTAGTGACACAGTCAGCTGGCAATTCGCCCGTCTCTCCACTGAACGGTGCCCCGAGCAACTTGGTGGAGGGGCTTTAATTTTCTTCCTAAACTCTGATCTCATTTAGTGCCTTAAACCACTCCCTCCTAATTTCACAAAAACATCGAGTTTGGGTTGAACTGGAGAGTTTCAAGCAAGCTTAGGAGCTCCTGTGAGAAGGGACGCACCTCGGCTACTGGAAAACTTTCTTAGGAGCCGAATGATATTTCCACCACCTAAGCCGCACACATGGTTTAGGCAGAAGCCCGCTAGAGGGATCTGGATTTCCTTTAAGCGAGGACATGGGTGAATGAGCCGCAGAAAACAGGTCTTACTGACTTTTCTTCCGGGCCGTAGGGCTGGGCTGGCATCAACTCGGCAGCTCCTCCGTCTTACCTGCCACATTTAGCGTGACCGTGACTTCCAAAATCTTTTCTAATTCTAAGGATTTCCGAAACACCAGGCAGTTGAACTTCTGCTCGTCCTGGGGAGTGACATTGTGCAGGTTTAGGGAAAAGTTGCCCTGCTGCATGCCGTCCAGGGACAGCCGGGCCCGGTCTTTGTAGTGGTTGTTAACGTGGCCGGCAGAGCTGTTTCCCGAGAGGTAGTAAGTCACCACAGAGTTGGTGTTCCGTTTGCCCGGCACGCTGATTTGCCAGTAAACATAAAGGTCATTTAAATCGAAGCTGTTTCCTTCAGGGTAAATGCAGCTGAGCCAGACATCACTGCCCACCATCGCTCTGATTTCTTCTTCCTGAATCTCTGGCAAGCATCCAAAAAGAACAGAAGTCACCTTCCGCGCTTGACTCGTAACTTTTTTATTTTTATTTTTTTGCCGTACGCGGGCCTCTCACTGCTGTGGCCTCTCCCGCTGCGGAGCACAGGCTCCGGACGCGCAGGCCCAGCGGCCATGGCTCACGGGCCCAGCCGCTCCGCGGCAAGTGGGATCTTCCCGGACCGGGGCACGAACCCGTGTCCCCTGCATCGGCAGGCGGACTCTCAACCACTGCGCCACCAGGGAAGCACCTTGACTCGTAACTTCGAAGTCACCCTTTTGAGGGGCGGGGGAGCTTCTGGGCTGCAAGACTCAAACCCCAATTCTGACTCTTTTCAGTAGGAAAGGAATGTATTAGTAATAAGATGCACATAGGAAAGCAACAATAGTTTAAACATTCGGACACTGGCGGTAAGCTGCTCTGAGGTATGTATCGCCAGGGCCGGTTTCCAGTCATCGTGCCGGGAGCCAGGACTCCTCCCTGTTTCTGCTCCTTCTTGGGAGTTTACAACGAATTCAGAATAAAAAGATGTTTTTTAAAAAACTCAGACATTTGAAAAGAAAACATCAGCTTCTCAACAACATCATTATAGTAGTGTTTGCAACTCCATCAGAGAAGGCACGGCAAGGTTTTGTGGGGTCTGTTACAACCGCTCAAATGCCAGCAGGGAAGGTGGCCGTGTGCCCTGACCCGTCGCCCTGGGGCTGGAAGGCCAGGCAAGGCCTCAGTCTCCGCTGTGGTGCCATATCCCCGTTCTGCACTCTTCTGGAAGCTGGTGGCTTTGGGGAGCAAAGGGGTCACGAGAAACAGGAAGCCCAGCTCCCAGCTCCTCTGGAAAGCGGAGGTTCTGAAACACTTGGGGGGAACTGCACTCTGCCTTCCCCAAACACAACATAAAAGGAGAACCACGGGGTCTGGCCGAGCCCTCCCCTTTGTGGCTCTCAATGCCACACATTACCCTGGGCTTGGGGGCCCCGCTTTCTCAAAAGGGCCCCTGGAAAAGCAAGCAGGGCTGTGCGGAGGACCCCACTGACACCTGTACCCCGCGGTCCTCACTGCTCAGCACTGAAGGGCTTGGAAGTCTCCAGCAAGAGCACAGTCTGCACTTACCAGCTCGCAGGCCACAGAGCAGCAGCAGCAGTAGTCCGGGGCTGGGAAAAAACAACCAGAAAAGGGTGAGTCCCGCCCCTCCCCCATGGGGTCAGGAGCCGGTCACACCCACCATCCCAGTGGGAATACACCCGCAGCCAGCCCATCAGCCCAGGCCACCGGGGCAGCCAGGGATTCAAGGAGCAGAGACAGCACCAACTCCTCCCTGCCCAGCAGGCAAGCCCCAAGGGGCTGGCAGTCCCTGCAAGGGACCAGCTCCCACGTTAATAAAACGCCCCTCAAAGCAATTATGAGGGTGTGATAAAGGGTATGGAGAGGAATCATCAGCCTCCTGGTGGCCTGGCTTTGCACGGATGTAGTCTAAGAAATTGTATAAAATCAGATAAAAAACCACTTTCGGGGTATTTGAAGTTTGAGAGACAGAGAAGATGTAAGATGCCCCTCCCCCCGCCAGGGTCAGGTGAGCCCCAGGACAACCTTCTGAAGGAACGTGATCAATCTGAAACCAGATCTGGTGGCTCCACCGGAGCTGGTGGACAGCTCAGCCCTGGGGGCCGGCAGATCCCTCTCATGACTCACAGGCTCCTGGCACGTTCAGCCTGGGAGCCTCTGTACCCTGCACGCCTCAGCGGTGGCCCCTGCCTCACCTGTCACCACTGTGCACCTGCCCCAGCCCACTCCTCGTTGGGTCAGATAGGAGAAAGCGCAGACGGGGGCCCCCTGCTCAGGGCTGTGGGTGGCTAGTGGCTGTGACATGGCAGCATTTTTATCTTCCGTTCTTGAGGGAACAGTCTTTACCTGCATTTCCAACTGGGGAGACTGGGTGGTGGGACTCTGGGGTGGGTGGGCTTCTGGGCTGTGCGTGTGGGACACCTGCGGATGGGGTACCTCACCAGCTCATCAAGGGGAACACAGGCTGCCGACGCTAAGACTGCCCTGAAGGGGGCATTTTGCCAGGAAGCTGTTGCCTCCCCCTCAGCTGGCAAGAGACCAGGAGTGACCAGCTGGCTGGCACCTTCCCCAGTTTGCCTTTGCTGGGGATGCAGGAGGGGGAAAACCCAGGCGTGCGTGGGGCACGTCACCAGTTGGTGGGCACCAGACGGCATTCGAGGTAAATAGGAGCGACCTTGGCACAGCAAAGTCACACCCTTCTTTCCTCTGGGCCACCGCCGGGGGGCGGGGAGGGGAGACGGGGGAAGTGAGAGTGGGTCGCTACGTCTTCTCTCCCAGCTTTCCTCTTTCCCTTCCTCGGCAGGGACCCCTCCCCGGTTACACCCGCGTACTGCCAGCGTCCCGCGCCGCCGGGAGGACGACGCCGGCAGGTAACCACACCTCCCGCGGCCCCGCCCCGCTCCCGGAGCCCGAGACCTCCGCTGCGCCGCCAGGCTCGGTTCCCCGCGCCCAGAGGGCGCGTCCGCGCACACGCTCACCTCCTCGGCCGCATGGTGAGGGCGGAGACCCCGGGCCACGGGGGAACTCGGACGGCGGGAGACCTCGGAGCACTAGAGCCCGGGGGCCGCGGAAGCCGTCGAGCCGAGGGAGAGCTCCGAGCACGAGCACGAGAGACCTCGGGCCGCGGGATCCCTCGGAGCGGCCAGCACTCGCTGCGCTCCCGCCGCGCCTCGGAGGCTCTGGGCGCTGAGCTGGTCGCCGGCTCAGCGCCCTCCCGATCCGGCCCCGCCCCCGGTCCCACCCCCGGCCCGGTCCCTCCCACGGCCTTGGCCACGGGCAGGCGCAAGGGGACGGAAGCTTGGACAGTGACTCCCGAAAGCTCAGCCCTTCCCGGGAGAGGGCGTAAGTCGGGCCCCGCGGGTTGCAGGGTGGGGCTCCAGGTCTGCCGGGCCTTGAGCCTGGGCGCAGTAGGTGCCCCGGCAAGTCGGCGGCAGGGAAGGTCCGGTGGAGGAGGGCGGCCCAGCGCGCTGCGGGAGGACTTGCCCAGCTGGAGGGGCCCTGGGAGACTCAGTGCTGCCCCGGAGTCGCGCAGAACGTCCACGCCCCCAAGCGCCCCGGCTCCGCCTGCGCTTGTCCCCCGCCCCTGTGGCCTGAGAGCCGGCGGGGCACGGCGGGCTGAGAGTCAGGCGCCCGCCCTCCCTCCCGCTCTCGGGACGCAGCCAGGACCTCCAGCGCTTGGTGAAGTCAGAGCTCCAGGACCGTTCAGGGACGAATGAATGAGTGGCAGGAAGGAGGGAAGGCGGGCCGGCGGGCCCCACCTTCCAGTCCAACCCTAGTCTCACCCCAGCCAGCCTTGCTTTCGCGTTCTCTGTCAGTCCTGGGCCACCTGCCGCAGCATATTTGCCTATTAAAGGCTCTGAAAAGCCCACCGCGTGGAAACCAGTTCGTCTTTGCTCCTCCAAGCGTGTGGGACTTGTCACTCTTTTTTTTTCTGGTCTGGGAAAGGCGGCGCGGAGCCCCGGAGCTGGGGGCAAACGCCCTGTTTCCTTCTTGCCCAGCCCACCCAGTCCACAAGGCCTCCTCTCTGCAGGCCCAGCTGCGTCCTCCTTCCGCACAGGGCCAGGTGGGTGCCGGCCAGGCCAGTGGGTGGAGCCATGAGGCAAGAGGCCGTCCCGTCCCCGGAAGGGCCTGGGCCCCCAGGCACCCCATCTCAGGTCTGGAGGCTCCTGCCGGGTGGAGGCGCGAGGGGTGTGTGCTGCGGCCCAGGCTGATGGGGATGCTGAGGCCAGCCTCTGGGGAGCAGGACAGGCAGGGTGTAAAGTGAGGGCAGAGCCCAGGGGGCTCCCCTGGCCCCAGCCACCTGCATGCTGTCATTCTTTCAACAAAGATTTAGTGCCCACCTACCACACGCGGCCTATGTGAGTGCCAAAGAGAAAAGCTTAAAATGAGAGAATCTCTGCCTGGTGGAAGTTAACATTCCTGTGGCGACAAGAGCAAACAAGACAAGGAAGCAGGGCTTCCCTGGTGGTGCAGTGGTTGGGAGTCCGCCTGCCGATGCAGGGGACACGGGCTCG